TTCCTGCCCTTTGTGCCCCCCCCCCCCCCCCCCCCCTTTTCTAGTCGCCCCAACCCTCGATTAGGCCCTTCGTACACGGGCACCCCAGGCCGCGCTAGTACCCCTATGTAGGTACACATACATACGTACATACATGTATAAAGGGAATAATTATGTGACGATCACTTCTCACAATCATAGTGGGTCCCCTCCTAGCCATACATATATGCACGACCGCAAGGCAGTCCAACCAAAACCCCAAGTCACTGAACATACCTGCAATCACATCAAAAGTCAAACAAGAGTCCACGCACTACACGGAGTCAACCCCAACCAGTTCCTATACTTATACCCCTCCCTTAAGCCATGCAAGCCCCAACCTCCTGCCAACCAACCTTAGTTAAATACTCAGTACCTTTGTTAAATGACCATTCAATAAAAGTCTGGGTGAAACCTTAACGAAACAGAAAATCACCAGGGCTAAAGCCTTTTAAGGTTGAGTATTGGGAGCGAGTTGAGGTTGAGTCGAAGACCGACGAATCGGCAACCGACCTCTTATCAACGATAACAGCAGATGATCCTCAAGGGATCAGCTGGACTTAGTCCAAGTCCTGAATCAGATCGATCAAGCTGGCCTGTAACACAAGACAGGTCAACGCCCAAGACTAAATCTGTAAGCCTTATGCGAACTATCTTCTATATAATGGTCTCATCTAACCTTCTGGTAGCCAACTAGGTCCAATCCTAGTCCTAAGTCAGGGCTCAAAGAAAAGGTAGACCTTTGGCTGGGTTTCCCCTATACAGAGTGGACTGCCAACTCTGCCACCTTTCATAATATAATCTAACTCCTCTAAACTAAGGAAATTTCAGCAGCGCTTCCCGTAGCAAAACTGCCTTTCCAGAATTTATATAAGCCTGAATATAAAAACAGGAATAGTCTTTGACTTTCTAAAACCCAATTTTGTCTAACTCCCTTAATTAACAAAATTTTGGGCTGGACTCCTTTTAGAAAGGGGGACTTCCCAGATTCTTACTAATCCATATATGATTCAGACAGTTGAACTTTTGGAAGGTCAGAGATTTGTCTAACTCCTTGGATTTGCACAAATTTCGGCAGCGCTTCCTGTAGAAAAAGTGGCTTACCAAGATTTATACAAGCCCAAGTATAAGAACATATATCAGAAAATGAAAAAATCGATCTAAGTAAAAAAAAGCTATCACAGAAAATGCGGGAATTGAATCTAACTCCTACAACTCTAGCACGTGGCGAGCCTCTACAACAACTATGTATCAACTCAAACTCTGACTAGGTAGTGATGCCACTCAGTCACATGCAGGTCAAACAACAAAGGTAAGTACTCTCACCATCCCAGGTTGGTTCAACAGTCATTAGTTCATAGTCTTTCAATTATTTAACACTTTACACCCTGCTTACATAGGGCATTGGGATTGGCTATTCGTCTCAGAAACAATGTCAGCCTTCTGTCTTAATTATACACGAATAGGTTGCACAACTACTTTTCTCTTCATTGGGCATATGACTAAGCCATTCATCTTAGAAACCATGCTTAGTCGCTCTGAACTGTTTAAATAGCCAAGTTATATATACCTTTCTGCACCTTAGTCTTCAAAAAGAGGGCGTAGGGTTGAGTCATTCATCTTAGAAACAATGCCCAGCTTGCCTAGGTTACCTTCAGTTATAACTCTTGATTATGCTCTCTTTGTTTGTGATAAGGCTATAGTCAGGCCATTCATCTTAGAAACAATGCCTGACTAGCCTTGTTTCTATATAAGTACATATATATACCACATTATAGAGAATCCTATTCCTTCATCCTCATTATGGTCGTGAGGCCTCAGACTCAGACCATTCATCTTAAAAACAATGTCTAGTCCTCTGGCCCTGAATCCTCCCTCAGCACAAAAAAACTATCAAGGAGAGATGAGTTATTCATCTTAGAAATAATGCTCAGCTCTCCCCTTTTCAACACACAAAAAAAACAGAGTACCCTAGGTCTGACCCAGAGACTGTTCAGAAACCACCCAAGTAAAACAGCGGCCAGATCATTCATCTTAGAAACAATGTCTGGCCCTCAAAAGTCAAGCAAGTAATACCCCTCAGAAATAAGTAGCCAGACCATTCATCTTAGAAACAATGCCTGGCACAATAAAAAAAAAAACACAGCAACCAAGTCATTCATCTTAGAAACAATGCTTGGTTCTTCAGAAAACAGAACAAAACACAGTGGTCAGGTCATTCATCTTAGAAACAATACCTGACCCTATAAGACCCGTTCAATTGCAAGCAAAACCGCCTTCCTCCCAACCTTCCCCATGATGCATCCCTTTGTGACAATCTGCTTTCCGACAAACAAGAAACTGAAACTACCATTATACAAGCATTCCTTTAGGTAGTCTGATTTGTGTCCTGAAAGTCAATCCCAAAAAGTCAAAGTAGAGGTTGCACTCAGCATAGTCAATCAATACATGGGGAGGAATGTAGATAGGGGTTATACTGGTTTTACAGGGACAAGCAAAGGTTACCTCTGAGTTCTCTGCCTCCCGAACTCCTCTTGAGTTCCGGCAGGGCTCCCGCAATCGGTGGGGCAACCTCCCACAGAGGCCTTGGCGCGGATTACGGGTTGCAATCCCGCCTGCCGCCTTCCTCTCCAAACTAATGGACTAGACTAAGAGTGAGAAGGGCAGAAGAAGAAACATTAAGTCTCTCAGATACAAGGGGGGTGCACCTCAGACTCGCATGAGAGGGCCTTGATGTCTTCTGCGCCTGAGGGCCCCGCAATAATGGCCAAATACAACAGCTTGGTCAGCTCCCAAAGTCAAACAACAGACTCCGACTCTTCTGACAGACTCCCCTACCACAGTGGTAGCCCCCCCCTCTTGCGCTACCCCACTCTCCAACCAGCCTTCCGTTCAGCCCAACCTCAGTCATCCAACACTAAACAACCATATCCAAGTGTTGCAGCAATTTGAAGTGGGCTCAACAGCCACTACTGTGCAACAAGCCACAACGACCCTTTGTGCGCAGTCAACAAGGACAACAACCGTGCACAGTTGACACGGCTACTCCAGCAACGGCACCGCGGTCGGCAATAAGTGCGGCAGCTACGGTATCAGAAACCCAAACGCTGTAGGTAGCGGAGCAATCTGCAGATAGTAGTTCACAGCGCAGTTTTGACGGTCACAGGCCAACGCAGCAGAGGGCGCCTATCCTCCGCCTACTGTAACAACT